AAGGGAATGTAAGAAAAAAAAAGAGAAAGATAAAGAAGAAGAGGGAAAGGAGAGACCCAAAAAGAAAGAGGAATGAAAAAAAAGAAGGAAAAAAAAGAGAATTTTTTTTTTTTTTTTTTTTTAAGGAAACCAAGAAATCAAATATCGAAACCAAAACCACCAAAAAGAAAAATCAAAACAGGAAAAAAAAAAAAAGACAAGCAAAACAAATTAGAAAGAGAAAGAGAGAGAGAGGGGAAAGAGCCAGAGAGGGGACGGGGGGGGGGGGGGAGGGGGGGAATAAACCCGCGCCGCGCTGGCCAATTGACAGGAACCGAAGGACGCGCATAATTCAACGACAGGAACCGCCGTCGGGAGTCCCTGGCTTTCATATTGCAGGAGGGGCTAATCTCGGCGGCATTCGGGTCATTTATTCTGCAGTTGGCAACACGGGGAGGCTTGAAGAGGAGGGGGAGGGGAGGGGAGGGAGGGAGGAGGGTGGGGAGGAATAGGGAGGGGAGGATTAGGGGGCTTGAGGAGGCGGGGAGGGGGGGAGGGGGGGAGGGGGGGGAGGGAAGGGGGAGGATTAGGGGAGGGAGGGGGTCTGAGGGAGTGGGGAAGGTGAGGGAATGGGGGAGGGTTAGGGGGCTTGGAGAGGAGGGGGAGGGGAGGGGGAGGGAGGAAGCGGGGGAGGGAGGGGGAGCTTAAGAATGGGAAGGGGAGGGAATGGGGGGTTGGGTTTATGGGGTCTGAGGGAGGAGGGAATGGGGGTTGGGGTTTATGGGTCTGAGGAGGGAGGAGGGGTGGAGAGGGGGTTGGGGGTTAGGGGTCTGAGGGAAAGGAGAGGGAATGGGGGTTAGGGGGTCTGAGGGAGGAGAGGGGAGTTCAAAGGGTGGGAGGGTGGAGGGAGGGTCGGTGAAAGGAGGGGGTGAATGGGTTAGGGTGTCTGAGGGGGGAGGGAAGGGTAAGGGGAGGTGGAGGGGTTAGAAGATCAAAGAGAGGGTGGAGGGAGGGAGGAAAGTTTAGGGGAGGTGGAGAGATGGAGAATAGAGGGTAGGAGGAAGGGAGTGGGTGAAGGGGGATGGAGGGAGTGGAGGACAGGTTGGGAGGGTGTTTAAAGGGTTTTGTAAGGGGGGAGAGATGGGGGATGGGGCCTGGAGGGAGATGAATGAATTGGCAAGTGAAATAAGGGAGACAAGAGGAGACGGGAGAGAATAAGCCAATCAATTTTTAAATCGATTTAATAATTAATCTACTTATATACCATTTGTTACAGTGTTTATTTCTTGGTGCGACAGGCTGTCTATTTCATTTTCCTCCTGAATTACCCCCCCCCCCCCCCCTCGTGCGCAAGGAATTCCCGGGGTCACCATCCACTGGCGGTGCGGGAATCGAACGCGGGTCAGCAACAGCGCCAGACGATACCGCTACCACTGCACCGATGAGGAAGTTGATACAAATGATGATAAAAGATAATGAAGATGGTATCAATTATGATGATAAAGATAATGAAGATGGTATTAGTAATGATGATAAAGATAATGAAGATGGTATTAATAATGATGATAAAGATAATGAAGATGGTATTAAATAATGATGATAAAGATAATGAAGATCGATGAATAACATGTAATCATTATGATGATAAAGATAATGAAGATGGCATTAATTATGATGATTGTGAATGGTAAGAATAATAAAGATTCATTTTAATGATGAAGATGATAATGTTCATAATGATAATGACAATCATCATCTAATTTTGATTTAATCTTAATTTATTTCAATTTTAATTATTCCCTTTTTCTTAGATGTATACCATGTGGAGGCCAAAGTTCCCAAGGAGGAGGGGGAGGGGAGGAGGAGGGGATGGGGTGCTGGGGGATCGGAGGAGGTTGGTAGGGTGTTGGAAGAAAGGAGGGGAGGGAGGTGGTGGAATGGGGGTGTTGAAAGAGAGGGAAAGGGGGGGAATGGGGGTGTTGGAGGAGGAGATGAGAGGTGTTGGAGGAGTGAGGGGTAAGAAAATAGGAGATACTGAGATGTGGGAGAGGGGGATGTGGGGAAATGAAAAGGGGATGAGAGGGGGTGAAACGGAATGAGGAGTTAGGATGGGGAAGAGGACAAGGGGAGTAAAAGAGACAAAGGAGAAGGAGAGAAGGAAGAGATGAAATGAAGTCTGGGAAGAGAGAATAGGAGAAGGAGAAAGAAAGAAAGAAGGAAAAGAGCGGGAGTAAAGGAGGATGTGGAGGAGTAGGAGAAAAGAGGGGAGAAGGTGGAGAAGGAGGAGAAAGAAAAGAAGGAGGAAGAGGAGAGGAGAAGAAAAAGAAGAAGGAGGAGGAAGAAGAAGAAGAAGAGAAGGAGGGAAAGGTGTTAAGGGATGCTCAGTGAAGGGGAGAAGGGCAAGGAGGGGGGAAAGGTATTTTAGCTTCTCATTAACACCTGGTGATTTCTAAGAGGGCGAGCGAGGGCGAAGGTGGGCGAGGGAGGGGGGGGTAAGGGAGGGGATTTAAAAAAGAAAAAAAAAAAGCACGTGGTGTATTAGTTGGAGGTGGGAGGAGGGGGAGGAGGTAGGAACGGAGAAGGAAGATATGTAAGGGAAGAGAGAAGAGAGGAAGAGAGAAAAATGAGGACAAGAAGGACGCGTACAAGAAAGGAAAAGGAAAAAAAAAACAGGTGGTGTATTAGTTGGAAGTGGAGGAGGGGGGAGGAGGTAGAAAAGAGAACGAAGATATGTAAGGGAAGAGAGAAGAAGGGAAGAGAGAAAAGGGAGGACAAGAAGGATGTGTAAAAAAAAAGAAAAGGGAAAAAGAGAAACAAGAAGAAACGATGGGAAACGAATGAAAGAGGAAGAGGACGAGGAGGAAGAAGGGTAAAGCCGAAGAGGTAAGAGGAGGGGGAGGAGGTGGGGGTAGGAGCTAAATAGACGGGGGGGGGGGGTAGCTCTGTCATTAACACCTGGTTACCTTCAGTGGGAGAATAGGTAAGCAGAGGGAGACTGGAGAGGCGGAGAGAAGGAGATAAAGAGGGAGAAAGAGGGGACGGAGAAGGAGAAGAAGAATGGGGAGAGGGAATATCTAATTAACACTTAGTGGCTACGGTGGTAACAAGGAAGGGGGAGGAGGAGGGAAGGGGGAGGGAGGAGGGGGTCGAGAGGGGAGGGGGTGACGGGGAGACAAGGATAGAGAGAGATATAGAGGGGTGAGAAAGAAGGTGGAGATAGGGAAGGGAAAGGGAGATAGGGGCGTGTGAGTACGAGGATAGGGTGAGGCAAGGATGAGGGGGCGGGTAGGGAGAGGGGAGGGGAGAGGGGGTGGAATCCAGAGGGTGAGATGGGAGAGGGTAGGGAAGGGAGAGAGGGTGGATAGGTAGATGGAGAGGCTCCTCCTCCCCTCCACCTCTCCACCTCCACCCCTCCTCCATCACCTCCTCCACCTTCACCTCTCCCCTCCACCTCCACTCCACCTCCATCTCCACCTCAACCCTCTCCTCCATCACCTCCACCACCACGACCTCTACCACCACCACCACTTTCACCTCCACCCCCTCCTCCATCACCTCCTCCACCTCCACGCCCTCCACCTCCTCCTCCTATCACCCCCTTACCCCAACCCGGATGTGCTTCAGGACGTAAGATTGATAAGAAAGATAAGGAATGAGACAGAGGACAGAGTAATAGAGAAATTTATTATTATTATGATTATACCAAGAGCAGTAACAACGATAACATTATTAAAACAACGATAATAATGATAATGGTATCGGTGTTGATACTAATGATGATAAAGATAATGAAATGAAGATTTTTGGTGATAATAATCATGGGTGGTAAATAAAGATAATGATGAAAATTATAATGAAGATAATGATAATAGTGATAATAACAGTCGTCATCATTAACATCATTATTATCAAAATGATAATAAACGTAAAGGTAATGATAATGATGATGGTGATGATAATAATAACAATAATGAAATTAATAGTAATTATGTTCATGATAATGATAATGATAGTAATAATAGTAATCTTGATAATAGTAGTCATAATCATAATCATGATAAATATGATAATAGTAATAATAATTATAATGGTAAAAAAGATAAAAAAAAGAATAAAGAAATAATAATTAGAAAAATTAAATAATAACAAGTGATAATGATAATGATAGTAAAAATGATATTGGCAATAAATATTATCATAATAGTAGAGACAACAACAACATCATCTTCAACAACAACAATAATGATAATGATAATGATGATAACAGTGATAAAATCTGATGATAGTTATCATGATAATAATAGTAATAATGATAATAGTAATAACAGGTATGATAATAATAGTAATGGTAATGATAGCAATAACAAAAATATTTATAATAAAGATAATGACAATAATGATAATGATAACAATGATGAAGATGAGAATGATGATGATAGTGATAATGATGATAATAGCAATACTAGTAATAATGATAGTAAAAATAATAATATAAAGATAATGACAAGATTAGCAATGAAAGATATAACAATTAACAATAGTGATAACAATAATAATGGTAATAGTTATAAATGATATTGTAATCATAGTAATAATGACAAGTATGAAAATACAGTGTTAACAATAATGATAATGATAATAACGAAAATAATATTAAAAAATTATAGCAATGATAACAACAACAACAATAAAATGATAATGATAATAATGATAAAAATCAATGACAGTAAAAATGATAATAATAACAAAAGATAATAATAATGATAGCAATAATAATGATAATGATAATAAGACTCAGACAAAGAGAACGAAAAGAGAATATAAACAAATTAGAGAAGGTGAGAGAGATCGACAGCGTGACAGGGGTCTCGGCTCGTCAAGGGAGGTCATGTCAGGTCGTGTTGTGTCAAGATCAATGATTATCACCTCTTCTTTCTCCTCTTTCTCCTTCTCCTTCTTCTTCATTGTGTTCGTATTCGTATTCTTCTTTTTCTTTTTTTTCTTCTTTTCCTCCTTCTCTTCCTCCGCCTTTTTCTTCTTCTTCTCTTCCTTCTCCTTTTTCTTCTTCCTCCTCCTCCTGCTATCACCCCCAAACCTCTACCCATCTCTATCCTTCTCCTCCTCTCCTCCTCCTCCTCCTCCTCTCCTCCTCCTACTCCTCCTCCTCCACCACCTCCTCCACCTCCTCCTCTCCTCCTACTCCACACCACCTCCACCTCCGCTCCTCCAACTCCAACTCCACCTCCTCCCTCCACCTCCACCCCTCCTCCACTTCCTCCTCCTCCTCCTCCTCCTCCTCCTTCTCCTCCTTCCCCAACCCCATACCCCACCATCATCCCCTTTAAACTCCCCCCCCCATATCCCTCCCATACCCCATCCCCCCCCCCCTCCCAAGCCATCCATCTGTTTTGGAGCCGTGTCTGTATATATATCACAGAATGAGTGTCCTACATCAAGCAGACAGACAGACAGACAGACAGATAGACAGACAGACAGATAGATGGAGAGATGGATGGGTCTGGTCACTTTGGTGGAGGGTAGGGGAGGGAGGTGGGGTTGAGGAGAAGGAGGAGGAGGAGGAGGGGATATCTGGAGGTAGGGTATGAAGGAGGGAGAGGGATGGAGGAAGAGGGAAAGGAGAGGAGCGGGGGAGAGGGGGAAAGGAGGATAACCGAAGGGTATAAAGGGAGGAGAGAAAGAGAATAGGGAGAGAGAAGGGGGAAGAAGGGTAGAGAAAGGGGAAGAGAGGGAGAAGGGGAGGATGGGGAGAAAGTGGGGAGAGGAAGAGAAGGGAGAAATAGGAGAAAGCGAGAAAAAGGAGGGGAGACGGGGAAAGAATGAGCAAAGTGAAATAGATTAGAGAAGGCTGAAGAGGAAGAGAAAAATGGTACAAAGGAAGGATGAAAGAGATGAGAGGAGGAAGGAAAGGGGAAAAGGGAGAAGAAGAGTATATGAGGATAACCAATCTTAAAGGTATATAGATGAACAGATGATAAACGGAGAATGAACAGAGAATGAACGGAGAAATAAACCAGAAGAGGCAAGGGGTCGAGGAGGGGTTGGAGGGGGGGGGGGAGTCGAGGAGGGGGGGGTGGGTGGGGGGTGGGAGGAGGGGGGAGGGAGATGGGGAAGGGGGGGGGGGGGAGTGCCAAAGGCTCAGATGTAGTGCCAGAACACCTCGCTGTTGATGGGCCTTCAATCAGTTAGTGTAATTAATCTCCCTGTCTGTCGGCTCCCAGTTGGTACCTCTGTCAGTACCAGGTGTTGTGTGCGATCTTAATTCTTTTTCCTTTCTTTCTTTCTTTGTTTTCTTTCCTTTCTGCTCGTCCTTTCTTTCTCTCTTTCTTTGTTTTCTTTCTTTCTGTTCGTGCCTTTTTTCTTTTTTTCTTTCTTTTTGTTTTTCTTTCTCTTCTCTCTTTCTTCTCTCTCTCTTTCTTTTCTGTTCGACCTTTCTTTCTCTCTTTCTTTCTTTTTGTTTTCCTTTCTTTTTCTTTCTCTCTATTCGCCTTTCTCTCCTTTCTTTCTTTTCTGTTCACCTTTCTTCTCTCTTTCTTTCTTTTTTGTTCGGCGAGTCCTTTTCTTTCTCTCATTTCTTTCTTTTTGTTCCTTTCTCCTCTCTCTTTTCTTTTCTGTTCTATCTCTTTTCTCTCTCTTTCTTTCTTTTTTTCTCTCTTCTTTTCTATTCGCCCGGCCTTTCTTCTCTCTTTTCTTTCTTTCTGTATTCGCTCTTACCTTTCCTCTTCCTTTCTTTTTTTTGTTTTCTTTTCTTCTCTCTCTCTTTATTTCTATTCGCCCTTTCTTTCTTTCTTTCTTGTTTGTTTTTCTTTCTTCTCTTTCTTTCTTTTTTTGTTCGCCCCTTTCGTTCTCTCCCTCCTTCCTTTTCGTTTTTCTTTCTTTTCCTGTTCGTGGTCCTTTCTTTCTCTCTTTCTTTTTTTCTTGTTGGGATCATTTCAATCTCGTTATTTTTTCTCATTTTCTTCTTGTTTAATGATAATTTTTATTTTCCTTTATCCTTTTGTGCAGTCTTTCTTTCTTTTCATTGTCACTTAATCTCGAGTTATCATTTTATCCTGTCAGTTTTTCCCCTCTTCCCTACTTGTTTCTTTCTTTTTATTAGCATTTTTATTTAGTTACTGTTTTCTTTTACTTTCCCTCTCTTCTCTCTCTTCTCTCTCTCTCTCTCTCTCTCTCTTCTCTCTCTCTCCTCTCTCTCCTCTCTCTTCTCTTCTCTCTCTCTCTCTCTCTCTCTCTCTCTCTCTCAGCTCTCTCTCTCTTCTCTCTCTCTCTCTCTCTTCTCTCTCTCTCTCTCTCTCTCTCTCTCTCTCTCTCTCTCTCTCTCTCTCTCTCTCTCTCTCTCTCTTTGTGTGTGTGTGTTTCGTCTGGTGAAAATTTTTAAAAAATAATTTGTGAGGCGTGTCAGCAAAGTGCGTGACAGTTGTAGCGTCATTCCTGGCGATGGGATCTGTAAAAAAAAAAAAAGAAAAGAAAAAAAAAAAAAAAAACGGATAATAATGTAGAAAAATAATATTGATAATAACAACAACAAACAACAACGTAAATACAATACACACTTGTAAAACACATGCATAAACATAATTACAATAAACTTCTTCCATATTCCACCCTACCCCTACACCACCCTCCCCCCCCCCCCTTCCCTCGCGCTAACCCACATGCCCTCTCCATCTCCTCATTCCTTATGTAAACCCCCAATATACACCCCATCCCGATACAAAGAACCACCCCGCTTCCCACCCCAACATGTCTCTCTCCCCTACACTTCTACTCATTACCTACCCCCCCCGCCCCCTTCTCCCCACAATATTGCTCTAACATGTCCTCTCTCCTCTCACCCCTCCCTCCCCCCCCCTTCCCCACACACACTACCCCAATATGTCTCTCTCCGCTTCACTCCCTCCCCTCCTCCCCCCCTTTCTCCCTCCCCAACTAAGGTACAAACATCCCCTCCTCACCCACATACACCCCCACCCCATTACCCATCCCTTCCTCTCTCTTTCTCTCCTTTCCTTTCTCTTCTTCTCTTCCTCCTCCTCTTCCTTTTCTTCTCCTTCTTCTCTATCTCCTCCCTCCTCCTTTCTTCTTCTCTCTTTCTCCTTCTCCTTCCTTCCTCCTCTTTCCTTTTTTCTCTTTCTTTCCCTTCTTCTCCCTCTTTCCTCCTCTTCTCCTCCTCTCCTCCTTTCTCCCTCCTCCTCCTCCTCCTCCCTCCTCCTCCTTCTTCTTCTTCTTCTTTCTTCTTCTTCTTCTTCTTCTTCTTCTTCTTCTTCTTCTTCTTCTTCTTCTTCTTCTTCTTCTTCTTCTCCGCCTCTCCTCTTCCTCCCCTCCTCCTTCTTCTCTCCTGCTCTCTCTTCTTTTTCTTCTCCTCCTCCTCCTCCTCTTTCCTCCTCTCTTCTCCTATTCCTTCTCTCCTCCTGCTCCTTCTTCTTCTTCTTCTCTTTCTTTCTCCTCCTCCTTCTCCTCCTCCTCTCCCTCCTCAATATCCTCGCTCAAACATTCACAATAAACTTTCTCAGCGTTAATAAGTTCGACCAAGTTTCGTGATAATACATTAAGCTGTACAGGGAAATACATTCGCATCTTAATCAATCATTGACAAGTTGAACTTTGATTTTTGAAAATAATGTGGACTTAATGGCGGTTCGATGTTAACGATCACGGAGGAGGGGGAGGGGGATTGGAGAAAGAGTCACGTCCATTTTTTTTTTTTTTTTTTTTTTGAATTATGGGAAGTTCGAAAAAAAAATAAAATAAAAAAAAAAATATAAAAAATTAACGAAAAAAGGAGGAGGAAGAGAAAGCTAGAGAAAAGTTTTCGAGTTATGGGAAACAAATTAAAAAATGAAAGATAAAAAATATAAAAGTATGTAAAAAATAATAACGAAAAAGGGAGGAAAAGAAAGCTAGGGAAAAGTGAGAAATAAAGTTGGAATTTATTTTTTATTTTAAAGTATATAGATGAAAACTTAATAAGAAGGGGAAAATCACGTTAGAGAAAAACGACAAATAAAGTCAGCGATGTGATAAAGGCATTTTTTTTTTTTATTTCGGAAATTAGTGGATCTTATAAAAGTGACAAAGAAATCAAAAGTATATAAGACAAAATATTAAAATATCTGAGACCATAGCGAGAGTATAATATAGATATATATATATATATATATATATATATATATATATATATATATATATATATATATATATATATATATATATATATATATATATATACCATATATAACTTCAAAGGAAATGATAGGATGAGATCGAAAGAAAATTAAGAAATAAAATCTTAAAAAAAAGGTTTAAAAAATGTAGAAAAAAAAGAAACGTTAGCTAAGTGCATAAAAACACATAAAAAAATGAATAAAAAATAAAACCGATGCAATAAGAAAGGATTAAGAGGACGATTTTTCAAAATGAATTGACGAAAACCCAAAGACAAGAAAAATACCAAAATTAGGCAAATGTAACAAAAAATACCCCAAATAAACTTTCTCGTCATCAAAACAAAACAAAAAAATAAGAAAATAAATCAAATCTAAAAGAAAAAACGAAAACATGTTCACGAGAAGATCTCGAGGCTTCGGGACGATGAGGGTGCGAATAAGATAAGAAGAAACGGGAAGGTGCGAATAAGAGTCCACTTCACACCGCTTTTTTCGCATTCCTCAGTCCGTCCAAACTGCATGCAGCGAAGGTTGAAATGTTGCGAAAGAAACGTATCCTTGAAAAATAAAGGCAGGTGCATGAGTAATAATGGTGGTGATGATAATTAATGGTAATAGCAACAACACTATTAATGATAACAACAACAATAATGATAATAATGAAAATTATTATTATCCTGATTATAATAGTAATATTAATAATAATGATAATAGTGATGATAATAGTGACAGTAATAATAATGAAAATGGTAATAATGATGATAATAATGTGATTATATTATTAATACTATCATCATTATTATATCATCATCATATTATCATTACTATCATCATTA